GTGGGAGTCATTGAATGTGAGGGAGTAGGAAATGTTTGACCTATTAAAACAATAAATATACAAGTTAATTTCTTCCCAAACTATGTCCAAGCTTCTTTTATTTCACTTGGCACAGGACCTCAGGTCACACCAGGCCCACACAAAACCTGAAAATAAATGCTTTGCTGGTGGTGATGACTTCCTTCTGGTCTCACAAAGGAAAGGCATTAAAACCCAAGAAAACCCTTAAGACTTAATTTTTACAGAACTACATTTTAAAAATCCAATTAGAGGGTCATTAAAGGAGTTCAGAGAATAACTGAAATGACTTTAAGCTGGAATTTCATTGCCCTACTAACATATTAAAAAATGAACATTAAAATAAGCCCCCCCCCCCACAACAGTTATTACCTTGAAATTAGGATCAGATCACAAGAAAGGGGTGCTCCAGATAGAGCTACATTAACTCTTGGTTAACAGCACAATCTCATTGTTCATGAAGTTTTCTTATTTATGATGAGCAGTGAGTGCATTTCTACAAGTCCTGATTCTGCCCTAAGTTTCTGGAGCCCTGAGGTTCCACATGATTCTGCAGCTCTATCATCAGCAGGGCAGAGAATGAATCTTTCCCTCGTGTGGTTGTCTGCCTAGATGCAGGCTACTTGCTCAACTTTCTTTCTCCTCTGGCTTAAACCATGGTAAAGCCATGGTAAAACCACATCTGGCAGGTTGCTCTTGACCTCTTCCAGCAGAGCAATGTCAGAGTTGTGGTTTTCCACATTCCTCACAACCAGCAGAGGGAGCGAAAGTGCACAGCAATTAGACTTCAACAAAATAAAGACTATCTTTCAATTCTATTTCATCAATATAAAATCTGCCGGTGTGTCTGGGTGAAGAAACGTGACATGTGTAGTATATTTGCTTGCTGTCCATTCGTGTTTCTGTGTGGGAGGTCATTAAAAAGCCACAAGGGGAAAGAGAGAAAATCCACCTGCCCACAGTATTCTCCTGTACAGAAATGAAGGAGCCAAAGAATCCGGTGGTGGCCGGGAAGCAGAGGAGGGGGTATCAGTGTCCTGCTTGGGAACAGAACTCACATCTCCTAACTGGACCCCTAGCTTATTATTTCACTCATCCCCATGAAGGCAGATTTAGGGATAATTGATAAGCTTTCAAGCAGAAGAAAACCAGATTGACCAACCATGATGTCTGCTGCCCCCCTCCCTAATTTTCCCTCCAGCTAAGCTGCACCCCCCACCTCAGCCCAGCTGCTATTTTCCATGAAAGAACATGTTCCTCCAGCTCAGGGTGAAAACTGAAGCCTTTTAAGTGGTCTATACCACATAAGCCTCACCCTTCTGTCCTCCTCTATGTCTCTGCTCCTCATTCTACTCCAGCCCTACTGGCCCTCAGGGCCGTTCCTCCAACACTTCAACTCTGTTACCCTCACAAGGTCTTTGCACATGCTGTTCCCTCTACCTAGAACATTATGCCCCAAGGTAACTACATGACTCACTCCTTCTTCTTCCATTCGTCTCACAAATGTCTGCTTCCTTGACCTTATTTTAATTGCACACCATTCCCTTTCCACTTTCCCTCCTGCTTTATTTTCCACATCTGACATGCTATATTATATGTCTTACTATCCACTTGTTTACTGTCCTTGTAAGTACAGGGATTTCCATCATTTTGTTCACTGCTACTGAATGCAAGAATAAATGAGCGAATGAATGAATACAAGAGTAAATGAGCCTTAAATTTAATCATACCTGCAGTGTTCAAAGGAAAGAAATGCAAGTTCCCTCCAAAGAAAGTGACATAATGTGCACATTGCTGTTCTTTAAGCTTCACCTAAAAATGATTTGCTTCAGTCAGTAGCTTCAAGGTTGCTATATTGATTGAAGTTCTTATTGTTTGACGCTGAGAGCAAGCGTGTTCATAACTTTATCATAGTGCCACAAATATCACTTCCTTTGTAAGATAAGGCTCCAACCTCCTCCTTCTACCATAATGTCTAATTACCTCTCTTGGGGGGTCTCACATTCCTTTGTGAAAAGCTAACATTAGCTGATATATAACACTCATCATAGTCTTTGCATGTTTGGTATGTGTGACCAAATGCCCTTTAATATGTTCCATGCTAATATTATATGAATATTAGTAAATAGTATAAATTTCTATGGGACCTCTTAAATAAATATGTATTTAGTTGGTTATGTTTTATGCATATTTAGAATTTGTTTGCATTATCCAACTTCACATGTATTATTTACCTGGTGGGAATATTTAGCTTTCTGTCACTCTATTTTATCCTATGGATAAATTCACATATGTTTTACAATATGCATAACATTTCCACTAAATCATCCTATTGTCTGGTATATTTATCACTTTTTATGAGGTGCTTATCTACAGCTAGGCATTTATGTAATCACTCATTCTTTGTTTGTTTGCTTTTTGTCTTTCCTCACTGAAGACAAGTATCTGTTGGGTGAAGGAAAAAAAAAAAAAAGATGTGTGAGAGTCTCCAGGAAAGCAAGCTCCACAAAGAAACTCATAGCAGACTTTGCCTGAAAAAAATTAATGTGTTAAAAATAAGTAAAGCATAATTAATTTCTCAAAAATGTTGTTTTCTTCCTAATGTATAAAAAGAAAACTCTCTCATATAGTGGTCATAGTGAAATCTAAGTGCATAATCTTCATTATTTTATTCTCAATTTTAATTGAAGCAATTAAAATTGTTAAGTGTTTAATTGCTTTCCATTTCACATTTAAAAATCTAGTCATTTATTTTTAAAGTTAAGTCTGAAGGACTAAAATTGGGAATAATTTAGAAGCTAAAGGGGGTGGAAAATAATTTGGTTATATCTTCCTGTTCAATCATCATCTCGTGGGAGTTTAGAAATAATTCTATTTATTTATCTTTCTTATGTGAGGCTAACATAGTTGACCTACCACAAGCCATTACATCCAACTAGTTTGCTGATTTGTTTGCAGACTATTTGATTATGTTCTTATTTTTTTCATTAAAATCTTTATGAAAGCTAAGTGGCAATTTCAGGTTGGAGAAATAAAGCAGTGAAAATCACTATCATACATCCATCATTTAAACAGAGTACTTGAGATGTCATGCTCTAGTATCATAGCTTAGTACGCTAATGCTTCCAACTCGTGTAAAAATCTTTTAATAGGCACTTTGGACAGGAGTTTCGCTATTGTATTTAACCTAAAGGAATACATGCGATTGCTGTTAAAATTACAGAACATTTTGGGACACCTGGGTGGCTCAGTCGGTTAAGCGGCTGCCTTCAGCTCAGGTCATGATCCCAGGGTCCTGGGATCGGGCCCCGCTTCAGGCTCCCTGCTCTGCGGGGAGCCTGCTTCTCCCTCTCCCTCTGCCTGCCTCTCTGCCTACTTGTGCTCTCTATCTCTCTGTCAAATAAATAAAATCTAAAAAAAAATTACAGAACATTTTTATATCCTTTTGAAAGCCAAAGAAATTTATTTTTACGGATTCTCTGTCTTAGAAGACAGATATTTAGGATGTTTAAATTTTACTTTGAAATGCCTGTAGCTCACAAGAAGTTACCAAAACAAAGAGGTCTTGGGTATGTTTTACCTAGCTTCTCCCATGGAAAAATCTTATATAATTATAGTATTTCAGTGGGCTTTTTTAAAGTGAAGAGACTTTTGATGGTCCTGTGCCTTCTGAGGCAGGACAGTTATAAAGACATAAAATCAAGCCCCACCGCTTGTCTCAAAGAATCAGAAACCAAATGTCATCATTCTTTGGGTCGCCCCAAGATTTTAGTTACAATGCTCTGTATTTCCATCTGGTTTACCTAAATGAGTTCGGCCCATAATTTGATGCCATAGCAAAAAAGAAAGGCAGGAAGAAACTAGTAGTGGTGATTTTTTCTTCCCCCTACATCTGTTCACCTTAGCAAAAACAGTACTCTGGCAGAGATGTTAATGAGACCTGTGATTTCTGAGGCTTATCAAGGACATTAATTTGTGAGTTTCTGGGTTCTTGTTCTCGCAGTACTTTAGAATGGTCATAAGCACGAGGACCAAGTCTGTCACAGATCTGTCCATCATGTAATTATTCTTCTGAATTTTATAGTCTAGTATTTATGCAGTCATCTCTCTAGTAAAGGCTGCAGACATTTTTAAAATCTACTCTTATTTTTCTTGAATAGAATAGAATTATTCTATCTGAAAAGATGGATTCTACCTTGCCTGATGAACTGCTAGAGTAAAGTGAAGTTGATTCAAAAGTAACCTTGCTGCCCTCTTTTATTTTTTCTCTTTGGTTCTGAATCCAAGAACCTTTAATCTTTCTGTCTTGGAATGAATTTGTTCTCTTGTCTCATTCTGGATGTAATCCCCTGGGTAGCTCACTCCTGGCTTCAGCATCAGACATGATACCAAAACTCTGTGACTGGAGCAGTTAAAAACAAGGTAGCCTCAAAGAAATAGAAATTAAATCACATTCAATATATATCCACCAGTATGGCTAAAAATGGGGGAAAAAACCACAGAAAATACCAAATATTGGTGAGGAGGCAGAGGAACTGAAACTCTCATGCACTGCTGGTGTGAGTGTAAGTACTTGTAACCACTCTGGAAACTGGCTTATCTACAAAATCTGAATATATGCACATCCTATGACCCAGAAATCCTGCTCCTAGCTCTATCTCCAACAGGAATGCATGTGTGTATGTGCATGCTTTCATCAAAAGAGCTGTATTAGAATGTTTATAACAGACTATCCAGAATAGTTCTCACCCCCTTCCTCAAGAAAGGAAACTATTCAATTGCCTGTCAGCAGCAGAATGAATGGGTTGTGCTGTGTTCATCAACGGAACACTGCACAGCAGCAAGAATGAACCAACATAATACATGACAAATGTGGATGAATCCCATAAACATGATAGAGAATGAAAGAAGCCAGACACCAAATAATACATCTTGCATAATTCCAATTTTATAAAGTATCAAACCAAGCAAAACAGGAGAGTGGTTCCTCTTGATGAGGAGGGTTAGTGACAGGAAGGAGCCCCAAGGAGAGCTTCTGGGATACTGGTCATGTCCTGTTTCCAGATCTGGTACACAGGGGTGCTCAGTTTGTAAAAGTTCATCTGGTTATGTGCTTGGGACTTGTGAAATTTCTCTGAGAATACTACCCTTGAACAAAAAGTAAAAAAAAAAAACAAGGTATAGTTTCGTGTCGGCTTTCTCTCATTTCTCGCCCTCCTTCAGACTGGAGAGTCTAGTCTTCTCCAACTTCCTTTTTACTTGGAGCGAGTGCATCTCAGTGCTTGTTCTCTCTTTCCAGGTGGTACTTCCCTGCTCACCATGGCCATCTGCTGGCCTAGGAAGAGGGCAGTATCATTGGGAAAGCGACGGGGAAGGGAGAGCCGTGATCAAGCGTGAAGGTCTCCCCAGCCCTCCAAAGAGTGATGTGCACCTGACAGAGGAAAGAGAAAGGTCTTTATGTGTGTAGGATTTAAATTATGATTTGTGAGAATCTGCTTTGAAATGAAATTTCCCCCAGTGAAAGTTCAAAGGATAAAAATAATCTTTACTAAAAAAAAATCATTTACCGTCTCCCTAAAAATACATATGTCAACTCTTCAATCATTTCAGCAATACCATCTCCCTTCTCATTTTCTCCTTCTCTTTTTAAAAATTGTTATTTTTAAAAACAATTTTTCTCCATGTCTTTTCAGGCATACAATTTTAATTAGTCTCCCCTTTTCCTTTAAAAGCGTGGACTACAGATAGGACAGGAAACTATTTTGCCCTTGTGCTGCCAAGTAGTGTGGCTTGTAAAGAATTATCCAATATCATTAGCCTGGGAGAGGTCCCCTCCCTTCTAATTTTGTACCAGTTCTCTATCTTTTCTCTGTGACATTGGCCCCACCAGGAACTCAGAACACATATTCCTTCAGTACTTGTTTATTTCACACCTCCTTGGTGCCAGACACACTATAAGAACTGAGGACATGGTGATGACTAAACAGATAATTAAACGGAGCTTACACTGTAGTTGAGAATGGTCAATAAGTAACCAGGAGCAAGATGCTATCTGAAAGAAATTGGGATCATGAAGAAAATAAATCAGAACTATACCAAAGATCACATGGAAGTAGGGGACCCGAGACTCCTTTAGATGGATACAGAGGCAAGCCTTCCCTGACTAGGTAATGTTGGAGTCTTAGTTGACAAGATACAACGGCCATGAGAAGAGTGTATCGGAGACAGCATCAGACACAGGCTGCAAAGAACACCAATTATCTGCCTTCCTCAGACCAGCTATATATATAAATGTATATGGAAATACATATATTTTATATATATATATATATATATATATATATATCAGAAAAATACTTCTGAGAGGCCAACATTTAAGATGGTAAGTTAAATTTAAGGAAAATACAGGGATGAATAAAATATAAGATTGCAACAGAGTTAAAATAACCTTAAGTGATTAACACTATTCCTATATTAAATGAAGAAAAAATATTTCCATTTATAACTATTAGGTACATATACATAAATATGTAGAAAGTTTTAAGCTATCCCTGCTCTATTAACTAAGGGGAATTCTTTTTTTTTTTTAATTGACTCTATCTCCTATGCTGTACTTTTCATCTCTGTGACTTATTTACTTTATAACTGGAAGTTTGTACCTTCTAATCCCCTTCACCTATTTCACCCATCCTCCCCACACCCTTCCCCTCTGGCAACCTTCAGTTTGTTCTCTGTATTTATACATCTGTTTCTGTTTTTTGTTTGTTTGTTCATTTGTTTTGTTTTTTAGATTCCACATATAAGTGAAATCATATGGTATTTTCTTCCTAGGCAGAAATCTTGAGAGCTATATTTGGATATTAACACAAAATCATGAATTGGTAATTTTTATAATCCCAGTAAGTGCTAACTCAGCTGACCTACCCATGGCATTTGGTAATCAAACTAAATACTCCTATTTTCAGATGTAAGACATAATTAATTGGTTAACTGCTTTGAAAATTTAGGCCTCATGATTTATTAAAAATCACTAGAAACTGGATAGATGATGAAAAAAGAATGAAGTCTCGAAAAATTTTTTCATTTTCTGAAAAATACTTCCATTATCACTATCTTTAGCAAATTCAATATTTTAAAAAATCACTTATTTTTTTTCTAAGCTTTGAGTCAGAAACAATAAAATACTGTAGAATCTGGGAGAATTTCCATATTGGCCAGGAGAATTTTGAAGCAGTGAAGTCTGATAAGAAAGGAAGTGAGAGGTGAGTGAAGGTCTCAAGCCAAATGGGGCAGAAGAAAGAACCCAACTAGTTGTGACAAATAGAGAGAGAGCAGCTGCTGACCGGTCTTGTGACCTTATTTATTACCTGGGGAGGAGAGCTGGCCAATGATGGAAAGGAGGAGAACCATATCCTCCCTTGGGGACAAGGTATAAAGATCAAGGGATCTGTGAAGTCTTGCATGTCCCGCAATGATGATGATGGTGATAATGACCACAGCAGTCCCTAGAGTGTGACACCAAAGTGAAGGGGAGGAAAAACATACCCACACGGAAATGAGGAGCATTTTGCAGCAGATGGAAAGTCTTCATTTGATTTCACGTTCTTTTGACAGGAAACTCATGCTTCTCCCAGATTAGAATTGTCTCCCTTCCCATCATATCCCTTGGTTAGAACAAAAGTTAGGGAATGCCCATAGGGTTTCCTTTAAGGTTCCTTGTACCCAGGACGATGGGGGGTGGCCACTGATACATTGGCAGGCCTTCCCTTCCCCCTGTGAACAGGTACCATATCCCTCTCCTAAGGAAAAAAAAAAAAGCAGAGGGGAGAAGAGAGTTTAGGCAGAAGTTGTTACCATAATGCAAAAATTATTCTGAGTAAAAGGAAAGTCCACTCTAGAAGTATGCAGTATGCTCTCTCTTAACTCTACAAGGTGTCAGATGAAAAGATGTTCTGTTAGTCTTTTTTTTTTTTGTACATAAGTACCTTTATTTATTTATTTTAATTTTTATTTAAGTTCTAGTTACTTAACATACAGTTTTGTTTCAGGAGTCGAATTCAGTAACTCATCGTTTATATACAACACCCAATGCTCATCATAACAAGTGCCCACCTTAATACCTATCACCCACCTAGCCCAACTGTTACTCAGTCTTATGTTCTCTTTCCTTGTCATCTTCTCTATTACTTCTCAATCACAAATTAATTATAGCATTGACCACATTTTGCCATGTTTTGAATCCATTTTCATGGATCTATCTATCCATTTGAATGAATATTCTCTGATATATATCATTTCACAAAGAAAAGACTTTCTAAGAATGTAAAATATTAAGCACAAGATGAAGAAAAGCATGTGGAGAATTTGGGTTCCAGAGTAAGGCTATTACTGTATATTCTTCTAAAAGAAGCTGAAGCCATGCACATCACAAGATAGATTTGGGTTTCATTCTTTTTGATTATTGCAAAAAGAATAGTTAAACTGGATAAAAATTTGTCTTTTATTTTGGAAGCAATACGAGAACCCATAAAAGATACTAAGTGTGGGTGACAGAAGACCACCCATGCACTGATGTGTAATATGAAGGGGGACCCCACAACAAGGTAGGAACTCTGCATGCTGAAACCCCACCTCAATGTCAGAGCACAAATGATGGCTACTGAAAAAACTCTCTTATCTGCAAGGTTTTTAGGCCCAAAGATATTACTGAAATGAAGAGTTTAAGAAAGGCACCCAGAGTCAGTGTTATATTGCTCATAGCAGCTGAGTCTCTGCTTATGGAGGGTGTGAAAGCAAAGCTCACACACTGGTACCCATCTCCACAGCCTCCCTGGAGGGCAGTGGTTGGCAGCAAGAGTCATCTGTGCAAATGAAGTGACTCACACTGAACAGAAACAGGCAGCCAGGGCACCGAGTCCATGACTCATTACCAGGACCTCTCGAGTCCCCTGATCTCCTTCTTCCCCTCCCAAGGCAGATCATTTGGAAAAGTCTGGATGTTTTCTCAGTACAAATTAAACTCAAGAAGATTGAAATTTATTTATATTTCTCCTATCATCATTCCACTTCCTTTTATAAACTGTTATTTTGAATGCCACATTGCTGAAGCAACTAAAAGTTCCCAAATAGAGAAGGTCTCTGGAGATAAGACATAATTCTGCTTAAGTACCATTTCATCTGGATATGAGTCAGATTTTGCTGTGTTCTCTGCCATAGCATTGGATTTGAGAAGTCAGAAAACATAGGTTTATTTTAGGATCATGTATTAGACATATGACTTTGATCAAGTCATTTAACCCAAGTCTCTGTTTCCTAATTTGTAATACAGAAATCATCACATTTGCCCTGATTACCTAACAGGGCTGCTATGAGTATTATATTGGATAATCACTGTCGTTAAATCACTTGTCATTAATAAAATATTATTTAAATCCAAAGCTGTACTCTCAAAGTGAGTTCTTGGCTCAAACCTCAGTCTTGCAAATACTTCTTGGACCTCTTTCCCCCAGCCTGGCATAGATTCTTCCTCCTTCAGCAGCATCATCCTGAATGGAGCTGCACACATAGCCAATCAGCCAAAGGTTACATCTCTGGCCTCCCTACTGGGCTGTGTAACAAAGCTCTACCAATGGTATGTGACCCCGGTGCTCTGAGCCACTTTCTGGTTGTTTGAAGGATGGCTCATGTCCTTTCCTTCCCCTTCTCTCCTCTTGTTCTCTTGATTGTAGTCATTATAGAGCTGAAATGGCTACCCCAAACTACAAAAAGAGAAGCAACATGGCAAGGCAATAGGATGTTAGAGCCCGAGTCTTAAACACTGTGAAGCTTCCATAGCAGACCCAGGCTGTCCATGCTGAAACCATTGAGTAAGAAAGAATAAACTTCACTTGGCTTAAGCTGCTGTTATTTTGGCCTTTGTTATAGCAATAACCTCACGGATACATTCCATTTAATTTTAATTAATTTTATACCTAGTCTACTGTGGCATTTATCACAGTATAAGGAGTGGGGAAGGAAGGTTTGTTTAACAGTAGGGAAACAATGGTGTTTCTGTCCAATGGAATATTATTCTTTTATTTAAATCTAACAGTACAGGAGCTGTTCTGACTCCTAAAGCCAGTCCCTCTACTTGCACTTTGAATTTGATCTTTTCTAGTCCCTCAGAAACTTACATTACCAATTATACCTTCTCTTATAAATTCAACCATTTCCTTTCAAATAGGTCCTTTACTCAGCATCTCCTTTAGAAAAGTACTCCCAGACTCTCAACCATAAATTTCTTCACTTGCAAAATAGGGTAAATTAAAGAATTACAGCTGGCAGGGGTCTTAAAGAATATCCTTCCCTGTCTCATTTGGTGGGATAATGGATGATTGCATTCAATACTGGCCACATCTTCTGAGTCTCTTGTGTGCCCAGTCGTTAGAACCACATTTTGGGTGATCTCATCTAGTCCCATGGCTTTATATAACATCTAAATGTTGATGATTCCCAGGTTTGTATATCCAGTTCCAGCCTCCCTTTTTAGTTCTGGAAGTATGTATTCAGTTGCCCACTTGATAGCTTTTTATTGGTGTTCCAGACTTCTGAAACTTAACATGTCCAAAACTGAACTCTTGATTTTCTTCCCCAAACCTCCTTCTCCTGCAGTAAATGTCAACTCCATCCTTCTAGTGGATGTAGTAAAAAAAAAAAAAAAAAAAAAAAACTCAGCCTTATTATTGAACACGTCTCACAATTTCATCACTGTTGACCTGGTCCAGGCTACTATTTTATCTCTCGTCACATCATTGCAATGATCTTTTAACTGGTCTCCCTGTTTCTGCACTTGTGCCTCTAGCCCCTTCAATCTAGTCTCCACACAGCAACCACATCAAAACAAAATTCGTATCACAACATTCCTCTGCTCAAAATCTTTCAATGGCTTCTATCTCATTTGGAATAAAACCTAAAATCTTTCTCTACAAAGCTCTATGTGTTATGGTACACTTTGGACACTTTGATTTTATCTGTCACTTACTCTGCCTTGGTCACTCTGATCTTCTTGCTATTCTTTGAAAACAAAACAATTATGCTCCTGCTTCTAGATGTTTGCATTTGCTAATTCTGTTTCCCAGAATCTTCCCCCAGATATTGCATGGCTCACATCTTCATTGGACACTTTGATTTTATCTGTCACTTACTCTTGGACACTTTGATTTTATCTGTCACTTACTCTGCCTTGGTCACTCTGATCTTCTTGCTATTCTTTGAAAACAAAACAATTATGCTCCTGCTTCTAGATGTTTGCATTTGCTAATTCTGTTTCCCAGAATCTTCCCCCAGATATTGCATGGCTCACATCTTCATTTCCTGCAGAGCTCTGCTGAACCCCATGTAAAATATCACACATATATCCCCATTACTCTCTAGTACCCATCTCCATTTGTTTCATGACATGCATCACTACCTGATAGGCTCTCTATATTAATTTATTTGCATATGTATTGCTTGTCTTCTCTCCAGGAAAGCAAGGTCTTTCTTTGCTTTTCTCTCCCTCCTGTATCTTCAATTTTTAGAATAACCCAGCACATAAATATTCCTGAATGAATGAAAGAATGAATTAGTGCATTTCTATTTCAGGGATCTTCTATACATTATCTCATCTGGCAGTCCGTTTTACACTTAATTATCTTAACATATAAATATATTCATCTTATTTCTAACTATAGAAGAGTGGGAAAACAATACCTTAAAATAGCTGGTGCTAGAATTCCTTCGAAGGAAGTGTTTTGGAAAACAATGTTTTATAAACTGATTGAGTTGAAAAATATAATCACATCAGCAAGAGTTGGCAGAAGACAAACAACAAAAGGGATTAAACTGCTCTGCATTTGAAATTTGGAACAATAGGAAGTCACAAAAAATAGAAGAGGGGAGAGTGTAAATAAGAAACAGGTGAGTAAATTGGCAGGGCATGGCAAAGGGTTTATGACATCTAAAAGTCAAGCTGAAGTGGTTTGAGTTCCTGTTATATAAGCCACTCTCTTTCTGCCAAAAATCTTCAATAAAGTCTGCTAATTCCAAAAGCATCTTTTGTCAGTAGATGTTGTGTGCATGTGCATGCACGCATGCACGTGTGTGGAAACAAGGAAACAGACTGCATTCTGTGTTTGGGCCAACACGACACTGGGGTGGAGGTACAGAAGAACAGCGCATGGTAGATCAACAAGAATGCAGTGGAGGCAGGACTTAAACGCCAAAGGTGACCCTGTGTGAGTGAGCCCTGTTGGAATTGACAAGCACCTTTATGAGGACACTGGGGCCTGAGTCAGTCTTCCATTGTACTTACAGGGTAGAGAGGCCCCAATGGTCCTCTGTGTTACTTGACCAAACTTCCTTTGCATGTAAAGCCTCTTTCAATGCAAACCTTTACAGAAATGTAGTGACTTGAAGACAGATAGTTACTCTTGAATCCTTTCCAGACTAAAAAAAAAAAACAACACCCACCCCAAAAAACAATGTCATCATTGTGATTTAGAAAGTTATTTATTCCTTTGGTATATATTCCTCTGTACTTGTTTCAATGCCTTCAGGTCCCTTTGATTTTCCTTAAAAAGAGAAGAAAGCCAGACTTAATGTGACAAAGTGGGTCTAAAACCTAGTAGATGAAGAATGTTCCTCATTGTCTACATATATTCTTCCTATTTAAATGGTAACAATTAACTTTATGTATATTAAGCATGGATTTACCTGGCCAGTTCACATGTAAATTTTAGTACTACTAAAATTATTAGTATTATAATTAATAGTAAATAGTAAAAAAGTAATAGTAAAAATTATTAGCATTATAATTAAATTATTAGATTATTAGACCTTCTAATTGTAAGTTCAAATAATTATTTTTATAAAAATTAGAAAGTTCAAACAATATTATTTTTGCTACACAATCCACAGCAATTTTTCCTTGCTAATAGCTTCACGTCAACTGCATAGGAAATTTATGGGTAATTCAAGTCTCACTGCAGAAAATTCTAAGTTATTGTCCAAAACACTTCTGTAGAAATATGGTAGGAAACATTATTTGAAACAAGCATGCCATTGTCTGGATATCAAAAATCTATTTTGAAACAATTGATTTTGATGTAAAACAATTTGATACCCTAGCAGGTTTAAAGTCATAGTTAAATACACTTAACACATCACACATCTCAGAATTAGCCACTGGTGTATACACTATGATTATGCTATTGTTTAAAAAAATAATAATGCATACACTATGATTATGCTATTGTTTAAAAAAAAATAATGCAACTTGCAGATCTAAGATAGTGGCCTACAGGAGACCCTCTTATCTTGGCACTGATCATGCTGTTGATTAGCTGCTCCATTGAGCCTGGAAGAGTCATCAATTAATGATTCAAACCTCAAGAGCTTCAGGAGGATTTGCTGCTTGAAATATCCTGGGTTCTGGCAAGCCAGACTTGTGCCCAGTTGGAGCTGTGGCCACCTGTGTTCTTCCCTGTAGCATTTTGGAAATAAAAAGGAGATGGAGGCTGAGGAAGAAATGCTTGGCTCAGATAGTAGCTCTCACCTTCATCAACCCAGGTGAGGGATCTTCCCTCTCTGCCCCTTTCTTGTAATGATTCATTTCCATGATTACTGGTCCTCCACTGCCACCCACTGACCCTTCCCTTTCATCCTCTTTTACATGGCCCTCTAATTCAACAAATGAAACATTTAGAATAATGCCACAATCCTCACTTTCATCAAACATTCCACTTCATGGAATGCTACACATTGGCAGCCTCTAAACCAAAGAAAAGTGGTAATTTGGATTACTCAAAATAGCACCTTGATTTTTCTCATTCGTCTTCATTCTGTAATTGGATTCTTCCCTGATCTGTAGTCTGATGTTGGACTAGAACTTCCTGCCCACTAAATAAGGTCAGTTTCAACCAC